TTTTTGCGATGATAGACATAGCATATGCAATGGACCTTTCTTTGCAAACATTGTACTCGCTTCTAAATTTCAAAGAAACAACTTAATATATTTTATCAAGCTTCGTATGTTCAATGAGCGAGAGCTTACAACGTTGTCAACATAATGAGACATGATGCGTTTTTATGTCCAAACATTACTCCATACAATGTGTTGGTCATTGCAAACAATCTAGCTATTTATGTGAGGTGCCTGAAGGAAATCCTATAACTGCTTATTTTTTCTATCTAATTTCTAAACAAAATATACATATGTACCAATTTTCGAATGTAAGACATGTAATTACAATTTGTTTTTCATGCACCGCATATTGTTTAACATTTTCAAATTAAATGCTAAGCATCCTCCTTGCAGTGCCCCATTTGAAAATAACTTCTATCGCCACAGAAAAAAGACCCGCCGTAAACACATATGTTTAGGACATTTATATCTTTTTTTCTTGAGTTTTAAAGAAACCAACAAATTATCAAGACTTGTTCCATGAAAAATTAAATATAATCATGGTAATAAACGGATCTATCCACAGCAGATATATGCACATGCCAACCACGTGCTCAGTGGAATAATTTTATCGAGGAAACTCGAACTGTAAACAGAACAGTTTTTCCCGATTTGCTGGAGTGGGGTTAAAATCGCGTTTTTTCATTAATCAGATGATGCGATGCAACAAATAAAAGTAGTAAGTAATATAACCTATTGATTATTACTTAGTAATTTCTTGTCTTGATGTTATTATGGTCGCATTTATTATAAAATCAATGTTATTCGAACTCTGTGTGACAGAGGAATGGCGGACGAAATAAACACATTGCCTCAGGAAGACACCCATATGAAAAATCAAATTTTCAAGAATTATGGATAATGACAAGAAAAAAAGCGAAACAAATGGTTGTAGCCATATTATCAATGAATCAAACTTACACCATTTTCAAGGCATTTATCATCTCGTAAATGCGGTAGCTGCGCAGTTCTAACATGATTAATTTCCTCCTAATTAAAACAAAATAAACTTAATTGTTTACTAATTTTGGTCTCTAACAGTAGGTAATTAATGCATTAGCACTTTGAGTAACTTTGGGCTAGTTTAGTGGAGTATTAAGCGCATTCTTGGTATTTCTTATTTTACACCAGACTAGATCCAATATGGCTTATACATCCCCCTTAAAAAAAATTTGACTTGAGAAAATTCTACGACCGAGCGAAAATGTAAGAGGAGGGGTGTCTCTTTTATAAAATATAACTTTCAGCCGTAGGGTATGCCGGTCCATTAAACTCGAAAACGAAGCATCTTTTTCTAGGTTGTTCACTCCACTAATACTAAGCGCAGGGTTTCGTCTGAAACCGACTGCTTTCACTACGCTACGAAGTACACCCCTACTAATGTTATTGTGATTTAAATTCAAGACACGTGGTTTAGGTTGATCTATTCAAAGGTTATAGGGTAGAACCGGTTTTATAAATAAAATCGGCAGTAAACATGATATTGCTATAGCCTGTTTCTTCTGAAAAGATGTCCTGTAATAAATGTTTCCAGACCTTTCTGAAAGACTTTCATGATTTTCAACAGAAAAAGGGTGACTAAAGGAGGCCCGGGTGTTAAAATAACAATATATCTTATACTTTTCGGCGAAAATTAGAGCTCACTAGTGACCCATTCGCTGGTAAAAAATGTGCATTATCATCTACACTGACAAACCTTTGTTATGGGCGTTTTTAATTTGTTGTCAAATGGAAAAAAAAGTTTAATAAAATGTAGTTTGTGTCTAGTTCAGAACACAAGCGCTTCAAGGGTAAGGAAAACGAGCAGCATCTCTTATGCAATTAAATGGACAAAACTTTGTTTACGTTCGTGATCACGTTTTCGGCCAGGGAATTCACCTGGCAATTGTATTCACCGAAAGTACAACGAAGGCATTAATACAGACGCAAATTACTTTTGCAGTGGCGGATCCAGAGGGGGGGTTACGGGGGTTGCAACCCCCCCCCCCTTTCGATTTGCAAAAAAGAAAGAGAAATAAGAAAGTTCCAATTTTTTGTTGTATTTTTACTATAGAAAATGTAAGGTGAAAGGCTAATGTTGTAATATATAAAGAAATTCGGTTGTAAAAATAAAATAAAACCCCATCCCTTTACAAAATAGGTTTTTCAGGTTCAGAGATTTATTTTCCTTTCTTTTTTAAAAACTTCCTGGTACTTTTTCCCAGATAAATCAACCTTCCACTTTCAAAAACCATACTCCACCCTGTATCGATATTCTATTGAGTTATTTTACTATATGTATGTGTTCAACGTACGTTTTAACTGTTTTCGCCTTCAACCCCCCTTTCGAAAAATACTTCAACCCCCCCCCTTTGAAAAAATTCTGGATCCGCGCCTGTTTTGCCGTATGACTTCAGAAACCTAGACTTCCGCCGTTTATTTAACAAATGAATTGTTTGTTATTATAAGCATGAAAATAATATTTTTAAAAATGCTTTTCATTTACCATACGATTTTCCTTTTTTTTCAAGCGTAAAATTCCTGTAGTATTCGTAGTAACCCATAATGCAATACTCATTCAGCTGATTGGTCAGTTAAAATCGTGCTGGTGCCTCATTTGCTAATCTGACGCCAAAAAATATAGTCCGGGTTCCCATGAAAAAATATTTGTCCAAAAAGAAATTTGAATTCATGACTGCAGAAAATTGTATTATAGAGAATACTTATTTTAGTTTGAATGAATGTAAAAGATATCGATTGACTGAAGTACATTTCAACATACATTATCAGCTGATTCTAGGGTGGTGAAAACTGAAACGCAACATACTTTTCTATGTACCATGCCTCCACGTGCTAGTCACTTCCTAGCCACATTTCCGTGAATAATTTACCCTATCTCGCTGAAGTCTTGCTAACTCTCGCCAGAGCCACTGCCAGAGCTACTCTGAACTTATCGGGTTTTATAATTTGCAGAATACCGAAAAATAAAAGGTTCCGAACACATTAGTAGGGGTGAAGTATATCATGCGTTATCGACGTCTGTCATTGTGATTTAAATGAACGGGTTTGTTGAAGTGTAAATTTTTTCAGAAATTTTCGATTTTCATATAGAATGGGTTTAGATTCCATTTTTTGGACAAATGAAATAGATTTCTCATTTCGGTTTCCATCATTTAAGCGTTAAAGAAGAATGGAGACTTGACCCATTCATGTTCAAAGATCATTTTTTGTAGCTCTAGTAAACCCATTTTCCACTAAATATGCTTAACGGACAACTTTGAAATAAAGACTATCAAATAATAAGTCGTTCAGTAAAAGTAAATGATAAAAGGTTTTGAAGATGACATTACTGAGAACATGATTTTAGAAAAATATAACTTTTCTGTGAATTTTGAAAATTGAGAAACATTTTGCCTCAGAGCGGGGGATTGTACACGCCTTATACGCCCTCTTTCTTTATTCATAAAATACGACTTCACTCTTGCTTGGCTTTATTGTAACAAAAAGGAGGAGGAAGCTTTTTTAAAAGTAGAGAGTTGTGTTTGGAAAATAGTGTGGGGTAGCGTTTAATTTCTAATTATACAAACACCGAAACAGTTTTCGCATTTGCAATGCGACTTCACTTCCCGCCATTTTTTCCACCTGTTGCTCCAGGTAAACTGAGGAGTATACTCGCGTAACACGAGTTGGTCACCCGTGTCGAAGATAGGTTGTTTTATTTACAACTCTAGTGACTCGTGTAACTCGTGTCGCTTAATCGAATATACCCACAGTGTCTCTTTAATGAGGACTACAGCTACATGTTTCCTGCGATAAATAATGATTTCCTTTTTATAAAACAAAAAAGTCACATTTATGTGCATTTATAAAATAATGTAACAATTTAAACTATGACATACAGAATTTTTATTCGTTTCCCTCCTTTTTTCAGAGGTATGAATACAGACATTATTTATACATTATCGACGGTACTTCTACGTTGATTTTCTCTATGATCCCATTTAGCAGTTTTAAATTTTTGAGTAAGTTTTTGAAGTATTATGCTTGATTTTTTAATTCAAAATTTAGATTTATTGTTATAAAATATGTTAAATATGTCTTCAAAATTTGAATACACATAATATAAAAAAAATATAATAAGAAAAAAAAGATATTGCCAAAGTTCGCAAACTTTTCGAACAGCACTCGTATATGTTTTCGATACTCACTTTAGAGTTCCTTCATTCCTATTTCTGCATGTTTTGAGAGCGAGTTTTTCTAAGCAATCTTTAGGCGGAGAGATACGTCAATCTTTCATTTACTAGATTCTACCTTATATCCGAAATTATATTTTTAGCATATTTTTAGCTCTACTGGTCAGAGACCAGAAGAGCTTATTCGATAGTAATGCGTCTGGCGTCCGTCTGTCTGTAAACAGTTTTTTTTTCAAAATGCTACTCCTCCTACAGTTTTGGTCTGATTTCAATATACATGTAACTTGGTACACAAGTAGACTACACTAAGATACATAATTCCGTGCAGCGGTTTTTGATTTTGATGAACGATGTTGGCCTTGTTACTAAAAATAGAAATTTCTGTGAAATTCTTTCAAAATGTTACTCCTCAGGCAGTTTTGGTCTGATTTTAATATAACTTGGCACACAAGTAGACTACACTAAGATACACAATTCTATATATCGGTTTTTGACTTCGATGAAAATTATTGCCTTGGTTACTTAAAATAGAAAATTCTGTTCAATACTCTCAAAATGCTACTCCAAATACAGTTTTAGTCTGATTATGATATAATGTGGCATGCAAGTAGACTACACTAAGACCAAAAAGAGACTTAATCAATGATCATTGTTCTATTTATTGCTGTTGTGAATTTTCAGTTCCCAACTGCTTAAGTACTTTTCTCTTCCTTTGATATAGTACAAACCAGTAGAGCTTCAGTCTCGACAGAGACTTCTGGTTTATATTTTGAAATACGAAAATTTTAGCTCAAAATACGAAAAAACCGTCAACAAAATTTCTACAACGATCAACTCTACGTCCAAGGAGTCAGGGACACTTGAAGATAAGTAAGTGAATTGTGTCCGTGAATGATATTGAGAAGATTGTTTTTTCTTTTTGCTAGCGAAACTTTAGACTTGCTGAAGTCTCCCTGTTTTTTATCCTTAATTGACCAGGCCTACTTGTAAATAAAAACAGTCAAGTTGGAATTGATACCCTCATTTAGTAACATTAGAAGAATCTCTTATTAACAGTTTCTTGTCTATGATATATCCTATTATGTTTCTTATAGTATAAGTATTACAAAATGATACCGTATAAGCAGATTTTTAGCATGGATTTAATTTTGGCATTTTAATACAATCAATAGGACAAATCGCTAAATTAAGTATTTACGTCTCGTTGAAATTTCCCCATTATATCGTGTATATAAGGAATATACATTTTTGGTCCCTGATGAGAATATTTCTTTTCATACAACATTTATTAGGAAATATGTCAAGCCCGTCTCTGTTTGATGAATCATATTAAAAGCTGTGTCAATCGAAATAACAATGAACTCAATTACTTCATATAATACACTTGTGTAAACATTAATTTATTGTTTTATTCCAGTACATCTTGGACTTTACCTCTGGCGCTAGGGATAGGAGAAGCCGTTTTTATCGCTGTTATCATCATAATCATTGTCATTGTGTTAAAGAGGGGTAACAATCTTTTTCTTGTTTAACATCTTTCTTATTCTTTCAATACATGTATCTTTTGTGAAGTATAAGATCGCTTCTGTATTTCAGGTAATGCTGCAACACAGTCGACTGAGGACACGAAGTATAGCATTGTACATTCTTCAGCCGAAAAAAAGATAAGTGAAACTGACTGCAGCATTTAAACAGAGGTGGTATTACTGTAATTGCCGAACAATGTCATGTAAAAGAGACTTGTATAGTTTTCTGCATTGAATATCATTTAATGCATTCATTGTGCGGCATTTCATATTTTCATCTTATTTCTCATTTCTAAGTCCTGGATATTTTAATGAATTTAAAATGATAAAAGCTAACGTGCATGCCCAAAATAGCTTTTCTCTTTAGAATTTTGACGTGAACATCAGCAATGAGTTTGATCAGTCTTTTTTTATCAATAAAATTCGCAGAATGACATTATTTCATACCATCATTCTGTACCAGTAGATTGATGCGGATTTTGATAAATCAAATAGGGCTTCTCTTACCTTTATTTTCTTTACTAATTTCTGCGCTTTCTTTGTAAGTTAATTAAGACTTCAAGCCCAGGCAGAAAAACATGATTAGAACATAGAATGGAATATTTATTTGTAATAACTGTATCTAAAGAATATTGACCATGTACATGTGACGATTACTGATTTTTATTTGAAAATTAAAATAAGTACACGAACACAACATTTCAATTTTGGAATAAAAAATCAATAAAGGACACGTGTATTTTATTTTCTGTAGAGTAAAGTATTTTACTCAGAGCATTATTTAATTTGATCCCCCTGTAGTTTTTCGTAAGCAGTGGTCGAGTGATCAAGAACTCTTTTTAATTTTGTTGGGGGATTTTTTCCATGAATAAATAAAGATACATAACCATGTGTGCTTCGCCTGGAAAATGATGTAAATTGGATACCGGTACCTAATGGGCACTAGTTAATTGTGTTTCTTCATTAGCTGACCTGTTTTTATACTCCTTTGCAGTAGAATTAAAAAAAAAACATCTACCCTGTACATTAAAAGAAAACATTTACTTGGGCCATTAATGAACATTTAGATATATCAACGATGTATTATAAATGTATGCACCAATTAACAATATTTACTTTCATTTATATGTCGATTCGATGTACAACTTGTCTATCAGTAAAACTTGAAATAAAAGACACCATAGTGTCTGCCACATCTGTTTCATGTTTTGATATTTATCTAATTATACACGATATGTGCCAACTAACAACTAAATTGTATGACAAACCAGATGACGTCAACTTTTCCATCCTCAATTTTCCTTATTTATACAGTAGAAATATCCCACTACATGTACATCACCTGCAACTGTTGTTAACATCTCCCAACTTATTTGATAATCAAGATCATGCTCCACCAATTCGAGGCAGACTACTAAAGGATAAGTTGATGTTACAAGGATTTCAACAACCTCGTTTTAAGGCAGCATTTCGTAAATCCCACGGTCATTTAAATGACCTTATTTGCAAATATAACATACGATTGAGTGCAGATTTGCCTGACTTGTTTCCTACCATTATAAGGCTTTCAGTTTTATACCAGATTTGAATATGGAAGACTTCGTAAACCTGATGGCTCAAGCAGGCAACAGGGGATGTTTACTTCTTGTGGGCACCTCATCCTACATCTGGATTTTACTGGGGCCCGTGTAATTTGTCCTTTTCACAGATTTGTTTGCTTTTTTTTTTAGCTCACCTGAGCTGAAGGCTCAAGTGAGCTTTTCTGATCACATTTTGTCCGTCGTCCGTCCGTCCGTCCGTCTGTCTGTATATCCGTCTGTAAACTTTTTCACATTTTCGACTTCTTTTCAAGAAGCACTGGGCCAATTTTGACCAAACTTGGTACAAAGCATCCTTGGGTGAAGGGGAATTTAAAATTGTTAAAATGAAAGGCCAAGTCCCCTCACAAGGGGAGATAATCAAGAAAAGACAAAAATAGGGTAGGTCATTAAAAATCTTCTTCTCAAGAACCACTGGGCCAGAAAATTTGAAACTTATGTGGAAGCATTCTGGGGTAGTGTAGATTCTCAATTGTTCAAATCATGACCCCCGGGGGTTGGGTGGGGCCACAACGGGGAATCAAACTTTTACATAAAAGTATATAGGAAAAATCTTTAAAAATCTTCTTCTCAAGAACCACTGGGCCAGAAAAGCTGAAACTTATGTGGAAGCATCCTGGGGTATTGTAGATTCTAAATTGTTCAAATCAAGACTCCCGGGGGTTGGGCAAGGCCACAATTGGGAATCAAAGTTTTTCATAGAAATATATAGGAAAAATCTTTGATAATACCATTGGGCCAGAAAAACTGAAACTTTTGTGGAAGCATCCTGGGGTAGTGTAGATTTTAACTTGTTCAAATCATGACCCCCGGGGGTAGGGTGGGGCCACAATGGAGAATCAAAGTTTTACAATGGGGAATCAAAGCATCCTATGGTAGTGTAGATTTCAAATTGTCTAAATTATGATCAGTTGGTTAGGATGGGGTCACAATATGTATTACAAGGGGGAAATCTGGTAAAGAACGGAATGGTCAAAGCTTCTCAGGTGAGTGATTGGTCCATGGGCCTCTTGTTTTTTTTTTTTTTGGGGGGGGGGGGGGGGGGAGGTTGTTGGCTTTTTGAGATTGATAATTTTCTATATATTCCCTTTTCATTATCTGAGCATTTTTGAAGACGTTATAAAGAGAAAAATGTCGAAATATTCTACCAAGGTTGTATATAAAGTAAACGAAGGAACTGAAATCAAATTGATTAATAACAACTTCTATTTATAATCTTTAATGATAAGATCAAATTACTTGTTCAAAAAAACCCATCAATCTGATAATTTAATATCCAATATACTTATATGACTAGGTAACCAAAAATAAATGCACCATATTTTACTTGACAACAGCTGTTTTTGACAATGTTTGAACAGTTGCAGACGAGTTACCACTGAGAGAAAATAATATCTGTATATAATAATAACTGCTGTAAATACATGTACATATGTAAGAACAGAAATACAGATCATGATGAACACCATGCCTATTTGTTTTGTCTTTCCTGTTGTACTTATATGTTAATTTATAAAATATTTTCATAAAAAGTTTACCCTCTGACAGTTATTGTTTTTTTTCTTTTTTGTTACAAATAACATAATTATAATAATTTATTTACAAAGTTAATAGAGAGTTTTGAGTATATCCTTGAGACGTGATTTATATTATTTAACAAAAATGTCATTTCATAGGCTCTTTTTGCCCCCACCCCACCCCTACTAATCTCTGACAGTAAATCTACAAAAAAAATTCTTAGAATATATTTTTTTTACTCCAAGGGAATATTGATTTTATTCCTAGTATGCAGTGGTTAGTTATTCCAACAGAAAAACAGTTATACAGTCCAGTCAAATTGTTATACTGAAAAGAAAATTCCCTTTACGATTAATTACTTAAATGATATTCAGATGACTTAAGTTTGTATTATTTAACAGATGATCCACATTATACAATAAACAACTGCATCCATGCTGCTGCTTCTCAGTTACAACAATATACAGAAATCAAGCTTATCAAGGAATAGATTATGCATATTACAAATGATTGTAAAGAAGTAACTCAAACTTATATGTGTCCATAAATTACATGTAGTCATTATACTTTTAAAACAATAAATATGTGTTTTAAGGCATATAACTGCCAGATTAATAAATAAAAATAAATAAATACCATGCATATTTCCAGACTGCTTATGATAAACAACAGATATACATGTAATGATTAGGAAAAATATAAGGTTTGAAGTTTGTATACATTGAAAGTATCACAATGATGGCATGAAAGCACAATATAAACAAAGGGTTTAGTTTTTGTTATCTCTTATTTTAGTTATACCTATCAATTGTCAACTGATAATTGGCATTTTAAAAGAAATCATACAGAAAAAAAGCCCTTAAAATGAATGATACACATAAAAATAGAATATTACACATCACTCTGGTACCGAGACATTGACACTATAGACTAGGTGTAATCACTGTTAAACATGGAGTTCTGGTCTACAGAGTTAGTCTGTTGTAAACCGTTAGCTTGTATCACCCCCACATCAACACTGTGAGAACCAGGTACTCTACCCTCAGACTTCACACGACTAGCAGATAGGTTCTCTTTAGATTGTTCAAATCTGTAAAAATAAATCAGCACGTTTATAATTCATGTCAAATATGCTTCTTGTATTTATTCTACTTGTAAATTGTTTCCTTTCTTGTTATAACAATTATTGTTTCAAAAGCAGATCCTTTTCCTGCTATATGTTTTTTTGCCTTTTTTGTATTTTTAAAAATAAAACGTATAAATCTTGACATATGTGAACACGATACACCTATTACATTGTAAAAAGGACCAGTAAATACTGTAAAACTGATAATTTTAAACAAATCTTCCTCTCACCTTGAAGGACTGTGTGGGACTGAAGCAGACGATGACACTGTTCCATTGACATTTGGGGGCAGAGCTGACCTTTGACCTACATGTCTGCGTATTTCTGCCTCACTACTACTGCTCAGAACATCTTCATCATATATCCTGTATCTGTTAACAGAAATCACATCGACGGTCTCAACTCCGATTCAAATATTTGAGAGCTCATTTGATTCATTTATAGGTTTTATTCACTGGTGAAAAATTTGGAGAAAAAAAAGAATTTTTGACTAACATAAAGTGCATTGTATCTAATGTTATAACGTACCTGAATCCATTCTCATCCTCCCCCACCTGACTCTGTTCATCATCGCTATCTTCATCAGGCGCCACAAACATCACTTCCAGCTCTATGTCGCCCAGCTAATAAAATACAATACAAACATCACAACTGCTGACTTTTACAAACAAACATCACTTCCAGCTCTATGTCCCCTAGCTAATAAAATACAATACAAACATCACAACTGCTGATCAGAATTATACAAACAAACATCACTTTCAGCTCAGTGTCACCCAGCTAATAAAATACAAGAGGCCCATGGGCCTTATAGGTCACCTGAGTATCATGTGACAACTTTCCAACAACTGAATTTGATTCATGTTTTAAACTAGAGGCCATGAAATTCACAATTTTGAAAGTCAGGCACCATTGCTTATCATAATTATACACTCAGCATACTTATTTTGGTTACTTCATACCCAGAGGTAGATCAGAGTAACAAAGAGAAAATGCATTTCCACTTTTAGTGAATTTCAGGGCCCCTGAGTCAGGGCTTCTTGTGTTAGGACAGGTCCACAGTTGAGCTCCCCATCCCACAGGAACCACTGACCCTGGGGCCACATCTTTCAAAATTTTGGAAATTTTTAAAAATTTTATTTCATCATGCTGCTGATTAATACCAAAGTGCAGATTTCTCAAGCATTAAATTATTTCAGACTATGTTACCCCCCCCCCCCCCTTCAAAGTACCTCTGTCCCAGGGGCCAGGAAATTAACCATTTTTGGAAGAAGCAGTTTTTTTTTTGTCATAAATATATACTAAGATCATTGGCATTATACCCAACAACAAAGGAAAAGATTTTCAAAGAATTCATGCATTTTCACTATATAAAAATTAGAGCCCTGCCCTAACACAAGAAGCCCTAACCCAGGGACCCTGAAATTCAAAAATCTCAAAGAGGCATCCTTCCTCCTCATAACTATGTGCATAGTTCATTGGTTAAATACTCAGGTGCAGAAAAGAAGAGTTTTAAAGAATTTATGCATTTTCACTATATAATCATTTATGCCCCGCCCTAGCACCAGAACCCCCAACCCAGGGGCCATGAAATTCACAATTTTGGAAGAGGTAGCCTTATTCAACATAACTATGTACTTGGTTAGTTTATTTAATGCCCATGAGCAGAGATGAAGAATTTCAAAGAATTTTTGCATTTTCACTATATAATCTATATAGCCCCACCCTACCACCAGAACCCCTGACCCTGGGGCCATGAAATTCATAATTTGAGACGAAGCAGTCTAATTCAACATAAATATGCACTTGGTTAGTTTATTTAATGCCCATAAACAGTAAAGCAGAATTTTAAAGAATTTATGCATTTTCACTATATAATCTATATAGCCCCGCCCTAGCACTAGAACCCCTGACCCTGGGGCCATGAAATTCACAATTTTGGAAAAGGCGGTCATTTTCAACTTACCTATGCACTTGGTTAGTTTATTTAATGCCCAGGAGCAGAAAAGAAGAATTTCTAAGAAATAATGCATTTTCACTATATAACCTGTTTAGCCCCGTCTTGCACTAGAACCCCTGACCCTGGGGCCATGAATTTCACAATTTTGGTAGAGGACTCAATGCTGATTACAATCATACCAACAGTTTGACTGCTTGATGTCCAGGAGTAAAGAAGATTTTTAGAGATTGCACTAATTTCAGTGGTTTTTGCCACATCCCCTAGGCCCCAGGGGGGCAGGGACAATGAAATTCATAATTTTTGTTCCCCTTCACTCATAGATGCTATATGCCAAATTTGGTTGAAATTGGTTCAGTGCTTTCAGAGAAGAAGCTAAAAATGTTCAAATGTTAACACACGACGAACGACGCACGACAAACGACGCACGACGACGGACGAAAACAGATAGAAATAGTAAACTCAGGTGACCTAAAAATATCACAACAGATGAATTATACAAACAAACATCACAACTACTGAATTATACAAACAAACATCACAACTGCTGAATTATACAAACATCACTTCCAGCTCTACGTTGCCCAGCTAATAAAATAAAATATCACAACTGCTGACTTATACAAACATCACCATCACTTCATGACATATTATTATACAATTAATTATCCCTTTTGAGGTCAACATGGTGAAATAAGGACCCGAGACCTGGCCCACGAGATGACCTGTAGCGGCCCAGGTCAGGGCAGGTCATCGAGTGGGCCAGGTCGAGGGTCCTTATTTCACCATGTTGAACTCACAAGGGGTAATCAATTGTTTTATTATAGAGATACATATTGAAAAGTATGAATCTCTAACCGCTATTGTTATCAGTTTCTCTCTTGGATCGGGATTCACTACACTCCGTAGTGAAGTTGTTTACATTGACGTCTGCAAGTCATTTAAGTTTTTGCATCATGATTTACTGATCAAAACAATATTTGGTTGATATCGACATATATTGTTATAACTAACGATTACTTTTCCTATACACAGTAAACATCTAATACAGAATTCAATTTAAAAATAAGTTGTTTTTCTAGAATATTTTATATTATTTTATGCATTAACTTCACTCAAAAAGGAATTTTTGATTAAGAGGTCATTTTTAGCAGTCATTAATTATAATGATCGGTCATTATATCCCACGTGCAATGATTCCTAGGTCATTATTGCTGTAAACAGTACCATTTGGAGTCATTGTTGTGTTTTAAAGCTTTCTTACCATAGTGCTGTATACAGGGTTATTTTCACCCCGCTTTATTTTTGCCCTTTCACACTTGCAAATAATTTTGCCCCATTCTAAATTCGCCCAGTCAGTTTAGTTAAAGAAATTATACTGTAGAGTTTGAATTCGCCCCTTTTTAAATTCACCCAAACGAGGTTAGAGCGAAAGGGGTGAAAATAAAATGGAGGCGAAAATTTCCCTGTATACAGTAATTATTATGACAAAAAATTAGGGTTCTCAAAGCAGCTGCTTATTTTTAATACGTCAGAAGATCATCCAGTACAGAGCAAATTGCAGCAACAAATACGAATTGTTTTTAGCTGCATTCACTCTGTTGTAACCTGAGTATGATTTCTGACCTGTGGTGACCTGAGTATGATTTTTGACCTGTGATGACCTGGGTATGATTTTTTACCTGTGGTGACTTGAGTATGGTTTCTGACCTGTTGTTCTGACCTGTGGTGACTTCAGTATGATTTTGACCTGTGATGACCTGAGTACGATTTCTGACCTGTGGTGACCTTAGTATGATACTTCACCTTTTATGATTTGAGTATATCTCACCTGTTGTGATATGAGTATTATACCTCACCTGTTGTGACAGTACATGGACGGCCTCAGCATGCTTGGATTCCCGCAAGTCTATACCATTGACAGACAGGATAGCATCTCCTACGTACAGTGCATCACATTTGTCTGCTGGCTGACCCTCATGGATTTCTGAGATCAGAATTGGAACACCATGTTCTTTTCCTCCCTGTCAAGAACAAGTCATTAATTTAAATGACATTATATTTAATTGACAAAGTAATAAAAACATTTTAGCAAAAGGAAAAAATCTTCTCCACATTCATAAAGATTTCTTGTAGTTACTTGCAATATTATATATATGGACTATTCAAAAATTAAATCATCTACTCTAAAGTCTCTACTTTCAGATTACTCCTTATTTAGCTAGCATAAGCTGGTGATTAACAATTCACATATTTATGTAATGCATACAGTGATTGACAGGCCTAGACCCTCCTCTTATGTATATATTTAGACTGACAGGTTATACATACTGTGATTGACAGGTCTAAACCCTCCCTCTTTGTACATATTTAGACTGACAGGTTATACATACTGTGATTGACAGGCCTAGACCCTCCTCTTCTCCTTTCTTGATGGTCACTTTTCTTGTCTCTCCCAGACCATGTTGTTTACGCAGGGACTGGAAATCCTGGCGCAAAAGACATCACACATCAGCATATTCATACTTCATCAATCAATGTATACAAAATTTATATATATAAATATGAAAATTGTTGATACAAAACAACATATAATATGATCTTTGTTTACTATTCTGTGAATGGATCGAATCCTCTGTACTTCCACTGTCGTTGAGCATTGTTCTTTCATCTCACCCAAATTAACTAGATTGACAACCCTTCAACCAGTCATTTTTTATTTACACAAAAACTAAGGGAGATGCAATATTTAAAAATGGTATATCATGAACAACTTTTAATGTATAAGGAAAAATTGGACAAATAAATGTAAAAAGCTAACAGAATGATGAGTCTAAGCATACTGATAATCTGCCTTGTTCATAGTTTTATATTAAGAAATATTTGTTTCTATTCTTAGTAGCAATGGCCATAGAATTTAATACTGATCTACAAATTTTAATATTACATTTCTTTACAGTCTAAACTTCAAGCTTCTTTGAAATCAGAAAAGGTCTGGAGGAGGAAATGTTCTTAAATGAATTAAAATGTTAATATTTCCATTTCTTATTTTTGTCTCTGTGATAACACTTTGAAACTTAGCGGAGTTTTTTTCTTGATAAACCTGTCGGAATGTAAATTAGGCAGGTCAAAAGGTCAGGAAATGGGGAGGCCTAATATGCATGCAAATCTCGTGCACATCTGTCTCTGTGTCTGACGCCAAGGATGCCAAATATGCATGAAAATCTCGTGCGGCTGCAATTGTGTTTGACGTCAGTGGGAGAGGGCTATGGAAATTGGCAAGGGAGTCTTCATGTAATTTAAATCTATGTCAACATTTTAAAAATATAAATCTACAATTTTATTTCACAGTGAAACAGAAATATAAGGAATCACTGTCTAGTTCGCATAGTATGCCAGGGACATCAACGATAGTGGGAAACATGGGATAATTTAAGCACAACGGGCTTCGCCCATTATGCAAATTATCCCATGTTTCCCACTATCGTTGATGCCCTGGCATACTATACGAACTAGACAGTGATTCCTTAATTAACTATAGTAGCTGCAATTACACAGTTTTTACCATAATCAGTTACATTCATATACATGCAAATTTACAACCAAAGCTCATCCATACATTGAGAGTTCAATTTCAATTTGTTCATTCTTCTCTATGTATCTTACAGTTAAATAACAGGATAAATTTTAAATCAGGTTGATAATGTGACATACATTCATTATTTCATTGCTTCAGTTGCAATTAATTGACTATTTATCATGTTTATATTAATACTCAAAATTTATTTTTGCAAATTATATTTAGAAACAAGCTTACTCACATGCCCCTCTGGCATCTGGAGTTTTTTCTTTCGGTTAGTTCGCCCCCTACATGCACGTATAACAGTTTTGTGTCGATGGAGGTGGATTTCCGCTTCTAACTGATTCCAGAGTTTGTCATGCTCCGCCCCTCGCATGTCACGACCCAACAACTGGATCTGTTGTATTCTACAGAATGTATAAAGAACAATTTATTGGTGAAATTTATATTTATATATATTTGTGTCTACTAGTCCTACTAATTCTGTTTAGGTGTTTGTCTACTAGACACTGTCCTTCCTGCTAGTTCTTTGTCTAGGTATTTGTCTACTAGACACTGACCTTCCTGCTAGTTTTGTCTAGGTATTTGTCTACTAGACACTGACCTTCCTGCTAATTCTTTGTCTAGGTATTTGTCTACTAGACACTGTCCTTCCTGCCAGTTTTCTGTCTAGATATTTGTCTACTAGACACTGACCTTCCTGCTAGTTCTTTGTCTAGGTATTTGTCTACTAGACACTGACTTTCCTGCTAACTCTTTGTCTAGGTATTTTTCTACTAGACACTGTCCTTCCTGCTAGTTTTCTGTCTAGGTATTTGTCTACTAGACACTGACCTTCCTGCTAGTTCTTTGTCTAGGTATTTGTCTACTAGACACTGACCTTTCTGATAACTCTTTGTCTAGGTATTTGTCTACTAGACACTGACCTTCCTGCTGGTTTTCTGTCTAGGTATTTGTCTACTAGACACTGACCTTCCTGCTGGTTTTCTGTCTAGGTATTTGTCTACTAGACACTGACCTTCCTGCTAGTTCTTTGTCTAGGTATTTGGCAGCTAGCCTGGCCCCGTACACCTCTCCCTGTAGAGCCAGTATATACTGTCTCAGCTCCTCGTTCTCACTCCGTAACTCCTTCACCTCCGCCTCCACTCGCTCCAGGCTCGAGGCTCCCCCAGTTTTAACTTTCATTTCTTCTTCCTACAAAAGCAAGAGATTTGTTTTATGTTTAACAATTATGAATCACATGAATTACAGACAAATACAGTCATGTGCATATAGTTAAGTTTTTGTTGAAAAAAGTTTCCATAAACAAAAGTAAGCACAAAGAATATACATCAATATTCTTTATTTTTTTTTGTAATGTTTTGTTTACAACCTTGAAAATATATTCTGATCACCTGATTCGTGATAAAGATGGATAAAAATTTGAAATCATGATCCTATTTACCACTACCTTCTTCAAACATTTTAGCTCAGTCATTCCCATATAATTCATACAAATGAAAAAATGTGCTGTCGCCAATACATTTCAATGCTATGGTTACTGATATTCAAATTATTCCTGGACCCTTTATGTTAACATATTTTGCCACACAAAAAAACACTAGCTGTTGTATTTTTTTATATTTTTTCTCTGAGTATTTACACAAAAGGAAGCCCGGAATCGTGTAAAAGGGGATGTCGCCATCGTATACCTTGCCGATTGAATCTGCATTACCTGGTCGCATTTTGTTCTAAATAAACAAAAATTGTTTTAATTAATGAAGAAACACACAAAATTACATAAATGAAACTTTCATTGATAAATGAATAACAATTTTTAAACAAACCTTTGATCATCGCTGTCGCCAAATTTCACCTAACTTACCGTAACAGTGTTTGACTATTTTTTAAGATAATATAATAGTATATCGTTAGTACAGCTAAAACTGTGTTTTCGTGTCTAAAATACATTAAAACTTTAGCACAGAATCTTTTTTTAGGCAAATTAATAAAACCGTGTTCAAAATTTTTAAAAATACGGATTTTTCATAATGTCGCATATAAGAACCTAACCTACGTGACAATGATTGTGAAGAAACAGAGGCTATGTGAAGTACTATTTCAAGGCAATTAATTGACATCAATGGGTATGTTTAGTAAACAAAAAACAAATGTAAGGAAAGTTAAACAACAATTCTAACCTCCTTAACATATAACCTACATAACAGAAAATCAGCATAATCTGACGTGTGCAGCATTTTAGGTGTTTAAATCTACCAGATAATGCTGGAAGTTTAGTCTTTAAGTTGACAACAAAATGGAATATAAAAATCATAATGTGTTTAAAGCATAGAATAAAGGTATTTTTGAAAATATTATGGTAAAAATGGCCTTAACTTAGATGTTTTTGCATATTACAAATAACTAGAAATATGTCCATAGGAGATGAATGCCCTGCCGAGGATATATTAGTAAAGCAACATGAAAATTTGTATGTGTATAAAATTTGATCAGAATATCTTTAATAGTGATGCAGCTGAATTGCTTGTTTGGAAAATATAGTTCAGATCCAGCATCCAAAGCAAGTGTGGTAGTGTCTATCCCTAGATGCATCATCCATGCAAGTTTGGTTCAGGCAGGGCTTATAGTTACTTGGGAATGAAAACATAGGTCAGATCCAGCATCCGAAGCAAGTCTGGTAGTGTCCATCCCTAGATGCATCACCCATGCAAGTTTGGTTCAGGTAGGGCTTATAGTTACTTGGGAATGAAAATATAGGTCAGATCCAGCATGCGATGCAAGTCTGGTAGTGTCCATCCCTAGATGCATCATCCATGCAAGTTTGGTTCAGGTAGGGCTTATAGTTACTTGGGAATGAAAATGTAGATCAGATCCAGCATCCGAAGCAAATCTGGTAGTGTCCATCACTAAATGCATCATCCATGCAAGTTTGGTCCAAGTAGGGCTTATAGTTCCTTAGGAATAGACCTGCTCCAAAAACTTTAACCTGGTCACTCATCTGGAAAATGCAGGTCAGATCCAGCATCAGAAGCAAGTCTGGTAGCGTTCATCCTGAGATGCATCATCCGTGCAAGTTTGTATCAACATGTGAAGTTTGATAACACAATCTTGAATGGTATGTTTAAAACTGAGCTAAACACTAATTTAAGAAAAGTGAGGTCAAGGTCAAAGGAAAGGTCAAGGTCAAAAAATGTTGATGCAGTTGCATAGCTCTCATCAATATCTATCAGCATATGAAGTTTAATGAAAATATCTTGGATAGTTTCTTTGAAACTTAGCTTTAAACAGAGCTAAACGCAAAGTGTGACAGAAGGACAGAAGGACGAAAGCGGACATGACAAACACTATGTGCCCTGGCCATATTCATTGCGGGGCATAAAAATGATAGCAGATTTTTTTTCTTTTTGTAAATGTCTAATATTCCGTAATGCGTACGGGCACAAAAAGGTCACCCTTATGTGAACTATCAGCAGTGTACAAGGAAATTATACTCATTTATACGTAAAACCAGCGATGTTACGGAGGTTGGGGTTTTCTGCAAAAAATGGATTTTTGTGTTTTTAAGTGAATTTTTCATATATTATGATATATTAAATAAGTTTTCTTGAAAAATTATGTTGATGTGTGACAGTCACTTCATAATGACTCAATAAATCACTTCATTTTTACAAGGTTCAGTAAGGTATTTCATAATGGAAGTTAAAATTATGTTTTGTTTTTTTAATTTAAATGTATTTGCCTAAAAACATTAAAACAAATATTTTTTATCCTTTTTTTTTTTTACAAATAAAGTATGTTTTCTAATTGTTATTTAATTTAAATTCACCATTAGGTAAACTCATTCACACCAATTCTTTGAAACGAAGGTTGTATGTTTTGTAACGGAGGTTATAGAAGTTTAAATCTTCACTTTCACATTTGCAGTTAAAAAAGACAATCATATTTTAATAAATATTTGATTAAGTTGATTGACCCTTAGTCATGCTGAGCGACATAAGTTTGTAAAGCCAATAGGAAGTCTAAAATTCGGTTTACTCTTTTTGTAAATATTCAGAATAACCTCCATAACAAAACACACTTTTTGGTAAATTGCTTTAAAAAGGGGGGGGGAACTGTTTAGTTCTTCTCTTAATTGTGTAAATACATTCTTTTTAAAGTGTGTTTGACACGTTTTACAAAGTGTTTTTATCTCTTAATCTTCAAAACGAGTTTGTGTAACCTCCGTTACAATTTTGGAGCAATTTGTATATCAACTTTTCTTTAAAAAGTGGTCAATTTATAATCAAAAAAGGTCTTTAATTTTAAAGATATATTCTTTAATTTTTCAAATCAAGTGGTCAAGTAATGTAATATTCTGTTTGCTTGGCAATACTCCTACTGGAAAACAGCGTTTATTTTATTGTCCAAAAATTCTGTCATCTGGATTTACACATATTTAGTCAATATTTTTTATGTTTGCAGTTCAGATTTTCTTCTGTTATAATTTAGTTGTAAATTGATAAAGCTTCAAGGTTCAATAAAAATTAGAACATGAACAAAGACTTTTATAACTTTACAGCTGCTTTTTCTGAGTTATAACCTCCGTTACGGAGTTCTTGCTTGTGGTGGGTTGGAATAGCCAAAAAAACAAAATGAAGAAAGATTTACGTGTAAAATTTCAGTTTATTAATAAGGGAAGTTTACTTTTTCAATCAAATACAAAATTATATCATTGCTCTCTTAAATTCGTTTTTTAATACTATAGACTTGGCAAATGTATGAATTATACAGGAATGACTGAGCTGCGCTTCATTGATTATAATGATTCAACCAATGTAATTTACACAGGGAGACCTGAAGCTCACCACTTTTTTCTGGATTGTAGTGGAATCTACTTCAATTCCTTTCTGGGACTGAATCTGAAGCTGGGTGGAATGTAGTTGAAGCAGCACATTGTGGAGTTCTCTCTCTACATGTTCTTTAGCTGATCTCATCTCTACCAGGTCTGCCCTCATGTCCACTAGCTGTGCCTACAATTTACAAACACAATGAGTCCCTCAATCTTTCATATTAATAACAAGTGTAGCGAGCGTCACTGTGAGCTCTTAAAGCAATGCCTGGGCAAGAGAAAATTCGGACTAATGCACATTCATTGATCAGATTTTTTTTCCTCAGTAACTCTGGACCCACAATGCATCGCTTGTTGAAGCTACGTTCTTGCGAGAATAGCAGCAAAAGTTCAACTAAAGGATAACATGCCTTGATTTAATGGGTAAATATTGAAGATAAATAGTGAATGAAACGTTCCTCCTTTACTTTCAGCACTGTTCAGGCTTCTTTTTGGTAATTTACAAACGACATCATCTGACGTCAGAGTCTAGACACGTCAAATGACAGGTGCCACTTTACAAACCCAATATAAACTATAACAAAAGAAATATCTGCTATCGCCATAACGGTAGCACCATCAACATTTTTTTTTTGATCTAGCCAGTTAGTCAACTGGTCAACTTCCACAACCACTATTAACATGATTACATTACATTAAATGTAAGTGAATTTAGAGAGTTCTCATGATTAGCAAGGTCCAGCACAATACCCTGATAAAGGTATATAGCTTGATAAAGCTATATAGCTTTATCAAAGTATTACAAATACCTTGATCAAGGTATTTTATGTAATGAAAATTCAAAAAAAAATTCTTTGAAAATTAAATACTGAAAGTCGAGTTCTGAGTTGTTGTCAGTAAATTCACCCATGCATGTAAAGTACTCAAACACAAAGAAATCAGTATATAAGCTTGTCGTGTGAGGAGACGTTCTTTTATGCTGTCTTTTTGATACCATAGTGCTTTTCATGCACGAGTGGACACACTGACCTCAACTCATAATTTTTATTCTACTTTTAAATTTATTTTTTGAAGAATTTTTTTGTATTTTCTTTACATAAAATACCTTGATCAAGGTATTTGTAATACCTTGATAAAGCTATATAGCTTTATCAAGCTATATACCTTTATCGGGGTATTGTGTTGGACCTGTAAACAACTGGGCAAAGAGAAATTCGGACTTTAGCTAAACAAAGCTATTCTGAAAAGTTTAATGAAGTGATATTATTTCTAAAACAAGCTATATGGCTAAATTTTGTGTTCATCGGGAGATTATGCCGGAATTGGTAAGGTTTTTTTTTATTGATATCCGCTTCAGTGTGTTATGAAAGGCACTACTGTCACACCGTCAAAAGAAAAAACATAAAAATAGGTGAAACATTGTTTCTGGTGTAAATGGCAATTCAGTTTTAAATGCAGATCAGCGTATAATGTTCAGTAAACCTCTATTTTAGCGTTGGACTGGAACACGGTCTGAGATTTGTGGCAAAGTTGAGCAAACGCAGCACTGAGTGCAGTCATCTTCTGCCTCCCATCATACGTGAGTTCACATTGATCTGGATCGATTTCCCCTAGAAGTAAATCTAAATCTACGAAGGCTTTGTCAAATTCCTTTTCCAATATATCTAACCAACGAAATGACAGGGTGGCTGCCATTTTTCCACATCAATAATACTCCATGTTAAAAGATTGCTTTGGTAGGCAGATGATAGGATATCGAATGAGAAAGCGTTTATGCGACTGTGAATAACACTTGTGTCAAAACCAAAAATTGATGGGCGTGATATTTCCGGAGATGTTTCGAACTCCCTTTGAACTTATCAAAATAGTAGTGAAAAGGGCATTGGACACAAAAACTCTTATCGCAAAGTTTTAGAAAGTGCGGCAATTATACCAGTACTCTGAAAATTCAAATGCTACATAAAAGATTTTCCATTTTATTTCTTCTTCTTCCAGTAATGTGCCTGGCACCAAAGTTGGGCATTATCGCACATGCAAATAAAGAGATATTTACTTTCAAAGTTGACGTTTCAAATCTGATCAATTACAGAGGAAGAACAAATTACGGTATAAGCAGTAATTTGCCGCAAATTTTTCAATATTTTAAACTTTTCCTTTTCGTCTTTTAAGTACAGGTCTCTGTAAGAATCAGACAAAAGGTGAATCATGAGGGTTCTCAGAATTGGATGATTTTACACACATAGGTTTCTCTTACACTATGAACTACGTATGTAAAATGAAAATTATTTTGGGTCCTTGTTACTATGGAAACATGGCCAAAGAAATTTTCCCTAGCAACCGGTCAATTTTCCATGTTTATGGACAAATATATCACTAAACTTAGAGGCTTGAAATTGAATGTGAATATTACCAGAGGGGTTCTTAAATAGTGTAATCATAAAGATAAACATTTCAAGTGATAAAACCATGTAATACATACAATTTTTATTTTAAGATATTTCTTTTATGGGCAATGGAAGATATGCATGTTTTGCATTTTTTGCTGATTCAGCATTTTTGTTAATTTGGGCAATTTTCAAGGCCATATATCTCAAACTTCTGGCACAATACAAGAGTATGGTATGTTTTACATAAAGGCAGAGGAATATCCTTTTTGGAATTTAAATTCAAAAATGTGTGTTTTTTAATATCTACAATCGGTTGCCTAGCAACAAAAACGGATGTTTTGATTAAGAGAAAGAGACAAATTGTCAAATATGCGAGTTATTTATGGAATTAAATCTTATCGGTGGATACCAAATTCAATTTTTAAAGTAAAAACATATTTCTGTGACTTCTTTATGAATCCAGGAATATTTTGCATACACTAATCGCCATAGCAACAGAAAATTCCCCATAGCAACAAAGAAAATAAATTCACTTTTGACATGCACTCAATCACAGATTTGATCATTTTCGTCTAGAAATGATGATTTGGTAAATATTAAAAAATAGTGTTGAACTTTAACAATAGTAATTTTTTATCTTAATTAATGCATAGCAATATTACTGAGCTTATAACGTTAATAAAATAATACATTACAAGGAGCTAAAGTTATTCTCTAAAGTCTCTGTACATAAGCATTTTAAGACCAATTCTCCGTAATTATCAAAATTGGTTGGCAACGCATAGGTACAGATTTGAATTTTTTCTGTCATAATTTTAAACAAATGTGTGATTGATTGTGAAATGTAAAAGTATTTTTGAACAAGAGGCCCAGGGGCCACATCGCTCACCTGAGCAATTGGCTAGAAAAAAGCACATATTAGATCAGAACTGAAAATTTACTGAGGGCGGGGAGGGGGGAGGGGGCTTGAATTTTAACCCCCCAGGGGATCATGATTTGAACAAACTAGAATCTACAATACCTGAGGATGATTAACTATAAATATCACTAAGCATGGCTTTGAAGTACTTGAAAAGAAGATTTTAAAAGGTTTCCCTATATAATCGTGATTAAAACTTTTATCGGCCATTTGGCCCCACCCTACCCCAGGGGGTCATGATTTGAAGAAACTTGAATCTACACTACCTGGGGATGATTCCACAAGAGTTTCATCTTTCCTGTCTCAATGGTTCTTGAGAAGAAGATTTTTCCTATATATTCCTATGTAAAACTTTGATCGGCCATTTTGGCCCCACCCTACCCCCGGGGGTCATGCTTTGAATAAATTTGAATCTACACTATCTGAGGATGATTCCACATGAGTTTCATCTTTCCTGGCCCAGTGGTTCTTGAGAAGAAGATTTCAATAGATTTTTCCTATATATTCCTATGTAAAACTTACTTTGATCGGCCATTTTGGCCCCATCCTACCCCCAGGGGTCATGATTTGAACAAACTTGAATTTACACGAACTGAAGATGATTCCACCTGAGTTTCATATTTCCTGGCCCAGTGGTTCTTGATAAGAACATATTTAAAATAAATTGGTCTATCTTCCTTTGTAAAAATTTTATCGACCATTTTGGCCCCACCCTACCCCCGGGGATCATGATTTGAACAAACTTGAATCTACACTACCTGAGGATGATTCCACATGAGTTTCATCTTTCCTGGCCCAGTGGTTCTTGAGAAGAAGATTTTTTAAAAATGCCATTAATTTTTCTCTAATTCATAATTATCTCCCCTTGGAAAAGGGCGTGGCCCTTCATTTGAACAAACTTGAATCCCCTTTACCCAAGGATACTTTGTAGCAAGTTTGGTTGAAATTGGCCCAGTGGTTCTTGAGAAGAAGATGAAAATGTGAAAAGTTTAAAACAACGACAGACAAAGGACAAATTTTGATCAGAAAAGCTCACTTGAGCCTTTGGCTCAGGTGAGCTAATTATAACCTCAGTTTACCGTTGCCATGGAAACGGGATACAGACTTTCTCATTTCTGTAAATCATGAAAATCTGCGCTTTTTTCATCAAGATGTCCAGAATGAAAGGAGATAATTAAATTTGTGTATAATTTTTTTAAACCAATGCTAGAGATTCAAACAACAATGTTTACGGTTCAATTTTAATTTCACACTTGTTAGTGGTCATGCTAGGTACTCGAAAATATCAAAATATGGTAAATTTGGCTGTTTTTAAATGCTTAAGACAAAAAATCTAATGATTTTCAAATTAAGCATAGACAAAGCAAGGCCAACATTTTATTTTGTCGCATATCTGCAGTGATTTTCTTTGATCTTTCTGTGGTGATATATCCCATATCACATATACATTCCACGCCTCTTCATATATCACTGCAGGTGGCAGAAATCAGGCCAACATTTTTTTTTTTTAATTTTGATATTCTTAATGAGATTTACGTCATCAGACATGCGACAAGTTGCTTACATCATAGAATGCCTCGTACTATTGGTTATATCGTTTTCATGGGGCGTGGAAATCTAGGGCGCTCCGCGCCCTCGATTTTCACGCCCTATGAAAACAATACAATCAATACTACTCGGCATCTATGATGTAACTTATACTTAAAAAATCATTTAGAGAGTAATCCAAGGGAAGTAACTGGAAGCAAAAATGCTTCAAAATACAGAAAAAATTAATATTTATCTCTAAAATTCTTTTATGCATTTTATTAAACATTTTTAAATAAAATTCGGTGGGCAAATGATATGTTTAAAAGAATTTTAAAGGTGAATATTAATTTTTTCTGTATTTTGAAGCATTTTTGCTTCCCAATTACTTCCCTTGGATTACTCTCTAAATGATTTTTTAATAAATAATTATTACACGCCGGGAGCAAGCCCCTGTGCTTTTTTCTTTCCATTTTTGGCTTTCATGCATTTAACCGAGATTCCTCTGCTTTGAAAATTGTGACACCTGAAGGGGCCTCTGCCCTGACTCTCCCCCGACCCCGGTACAATTCGCAATAAAAATATTACATTACATGTAAAACACGTTGATGAGAGACAATGTAGACATATGTCAGGTCAGACACAATCTCTATGTAACACTGTATACATGTATACTTAGAGTAGCTTGCTTAGACGGTTAGATGTTCACACTAGCATGATTTACAATTTTTACCACACTAAGTTTTCCTCATGAGCAATCTTTTTATGAAGTTAAAAAATGAATCTTGGTGTACAGGGGCTTGCTCCCGGTGTTTAAAAAATATTTATTGAAATAGCATTGTTTGTATATTTGGTATATGATATTTTTATGTATTTTTTTTTACAATAAAAGCATACCTTCAGCTAGCACCAAATTTTATTTTAATGCAATACCGGGTAATACATTTCTTTTACTTCCCTTAACTGTAACTGTAAAGTTGAGGGGTGCCTTTTAATAAACATTTCCTACAGTGATGTTACGTTCGAAAAAACGGGGGGGGGGGGGGGCAGCCCCCACCCCTTTGGCCCGCTGTTGCTACATCCCTTGTTTGAAACAATTGTCCAAATTGAGTATAATTAATACAATACATCAATAGGGAATCAATGCACTAAGCAGGGCAAATACAGAAAAAGTGCTTGCAATTGTCCAAAGTCAATACTTGCCATATAAATGTGGGACAAAAAAAAATTATAGCCTAATATTTTGTACTGTAAATTTCTATCCCTAGCGTTCATAGCATTATTGATCACTTTGCATGAGATGATATATTTTTACCAAGCAATGGATTTCCAAAATCGACAGACATCTTTCGAAGTCTACAGTCGCCTGCGTGGCGCAGTGGTTAAAGCGTCTGCTCGAGAGTCGCAAAGGAGTCAATCCTTACGTCCAAGGTTCGAATCCCACTGTGGGACGTGGAGACCGGTCCTTCGAATGAGACCGTATAAACCAAGGTCCCGTGTCGCAGTAGGTGCTGGTACGAAAAAAGATCCCTCCCTGCTCAATGGCCCTAAGTGCCAAGTATATGACAAAATTTGCAGCTCTCCACCGGGAAGTGGTGGCGTCTCCATGTGAGTGAAAAATTCTCGATCGAGAGAGACGTTTATCAATATACACAATCAATCAATCGAAGTGTACAAATTCTCTTTAATTTTGTATGGTATTTTTTTTTTAAACTTGAAAAACATTAATTTCAAAAGATTAATCAAACTGTTTTTGTAACTTACAATGATATATAGTGTTACTTAAAAGGAGGGATGTTTTGATGTATTCAATAGGTATACCGTATACATCAATACACTAAAAATTGTACAACAAAACATATATAATTATATCTGCACCCCG